GTCATCAGCCGCCGGTGGTTTTTTTATAATCTAAAAAAACAATGTTTTGTTTTTTTACATCACTACTTTTAATATGAATAGCTGGTTAGTTTAATTACTTTGATATACGTGTTTGAACTCAATTTATAGGGCATGGGTTAGGTTTTTAAATAACTAATAACTTTGAAAAAGAAGTTGGGCGCCATTTTATTTAAAGCTTATATACTTAACTCTACATTAGTGATAAAAATATAGAAAATCACTAACTACTAACAAATTATACTTAAAAAATGCTTTAGATAAGGTAGGTATCAAATTCTAATTCACATAAGTCTGCACATCATTCAAATTTTAAACAATTTATTGATTTGATCAATTACACTTATCTGTGTGGTAAATAAGGTAATATAACGGTATAATTAGTTAAAGGTAAAAATCAGGTATTTCTCCCTTCGCCCTAAACTGCGGAGATACATCAATCGCTAAATATTATATACCGCTCAGGCAGCTTCCACCAAGTGATTTGGGATTCCTATTCATAACTCTCATTTGTGACTCCTATAAGTGATTGAACTGTGAATGATCTTCAAGATAAATGATTCTTATTTATATTCGAACTCGAATTGTATGGAGATTGCCATCGGCTAAAAAGAGTTAAAATGTTATAATAGATGAAGGGAAATTTTAAAAGGATTTAGATAAAATTAAATGAGATTAAAATTAATATAAAAAGGAAAAATCTTATTTAATATGTTTAAATATAGTTAAGCATAATATCTTATTCCAAAAAATAATATATACTTTTATATAGAAGCTAACAATTTACTAGAGAAATCATTGAAATTCAAAATAACGTAGATAATTTTTTGTACCTTTCTGGAACTTTGAATAGCCATTTGCAAGTTCGTTCCTTTCTGTTTGAAAAGCCGCAAGAGACATCATTTCGTGTGAAGGCTAGTGTTAGTTTTGTCATCCCTTAATTGGTGAGTTTTTATTCAATTAATTTCTCAGGTTCTTTTACGAATCTCCTTCTTACGTTTCTGGATAGATATTATTTCCGTATTTCTTTTATCAGGGATCTACACTGGGACATAATCCGGTAGAAAGCACGTCTTCCATATTTTCTTGTACTACATCGCTTGATGGTTTCTGAAGTACTTAATTATATCGAGATATCCATAATCAATATCTTGAATATTGTCGTTCTGTTTATTACATCGATTAATATTGGAATAGCTGTAGTAGCCGTATTTGTTTCGTCTTTCATAATGTGTAAGTCCAAAGTCCAGCTAAGTATTCTGCGAGACGTAGTTTGTGTTAACAACTATATTCACCTGTACCTTTCCTTTGGACAATCAGTCACAAATGGAGTCAACCTACTTGTTACGAGTAACCTACCCGAGATCTCTTACCAAAAGATTTAAGGATACTTCTGAAGTCCAGTGATCGAACCACGAGTCCACCAAACCAGGTGTTATTTAAGAATAATACATTGTTTTAGTAACTATTTAATTTAAATATAACATTACTGATTATAATTTGGTATACAATTTAGAACATAAAAGTTATTTAATTAATATAAAAGGTTGTAAACCGAACATAGCTATGAAAGGTATTCTGTCGTATCAATATTTATTTAATATTATACATTTTTTCTAATTTACTATAATAATTAAAAATCATAATTTTAATCATTAACTTTATTTACTGAGAATGTTAAGTTGATAAGTATAGGTCATCATTTACATATAGACAAACCAGAAACCATATTTTGAATATAATTTGAAAATAAATTGAGAGTGACATAATAGGTTGTTTCTTTTCTTTTCTTGGTACATAAATTTTCCCTTTTCAGAAAAGTTAATTATCATTGTTTATTTAAAAGTTTATTTGAATATTGGTCAATATCAAACTTTTCATCTATACAATCATTGTAAGTAACTTTAAATTTTGGGAAAGTTTTAGTCTTATACTTTGATATTGACAATTATTGTATTAAAGTTGCATGGCGCTCGACATTGTTACTTTACTCAAACACATTAATTTCATTCCAAATTCACCCTAGCTCTCCAGACTGAAAAGCTGCCGTTCGCAGTGTGTTGCACTAAAATTCATAATATTCAAATTTCTATTTTTTTTTATTTTTTATTTTTTTTAATCAGACATCTCAAAAAAAGTGCGGCACAATCGTTTGTGACAAATGGCTGCATGAAAGCTGCACAATGTACCCAAAGATGTGTAACAGTTGTGGGCGTCAAAAAAAAACGTGCAGAAAATAAAAAATAACGTGTCAGTCTCTATTTTTATTATTTTTTTTGCCGGGGCGTATTCTCACTCTCGTCGTGGGTAATACGCTCAACTAACTTTTTTTTATTTTCACTTACCACCTGTAAAGTGATATAAGATGTAATATTGCTTGAGTTTTGGATATGCACGTGCTTCAGTTATTTAGTTTTGACTTATTTTCATAATAAATGCTTTTAATTTTGAGTAATTGATTTTTTTTTTAAATATGGGGCGTATTATACCACGTTATCCTATGTTCCTAATGTAACTATGAGGACTATGCTTTCTTATACAAAAAATCTGATGTGTCCAACACATGACTTTCCTATCTAGTTATTATAGACTTTTTCCGGTTATTTTGTACAACCTATTGCAGCACCTCTATAAATGTTTAAAGGATAAACTAAATATATACATTTTCCACATACATTTAACTCGAAACATTTTTCTCTAGATAACGAAAATACTGAAAAATTTAAATTTAGCACTTTTCCTTCAATTTTTCCAATACGGTCCATTTTAGAAAAATCATATAAAAAACAAAAATTATAGAGATCGATATCATAAATAACTTTTATTTAAACAATTTTCCTAAAAATTTGAATTTTATTACATTTTGTCAAATTTCTCGAATACGGACCATTTAAAAAAAAATTGTATAAAACCAAAATTATAGATAATAATATTGTAAGTAATTTTTATCTGAACAATTTTCTTCTCCAAACATAAATAACAGATATATTCCATAAAATATAAAAACGGCCTCCCATAAAGTACCCCCCCAGATGTTCCGACTTTGTCCAAAATCTAATCATTTCACGTCAGGCCGAAATAAACCTTAAGTTTAAAATTTAACGTTTTTTTTCTTTATCCGTTTTTGAATTTTCTTCAAAGTTCGAAATTTAAACATTTTCTCAAATATCTCGAATACGGTCCATTTTAGAGAAATTATGTATAGAATAAAAATTATAGAGAATTATATTGCAAACAACTTTTATTTGAACAATTTTTATAAAAAATTATTTTTTTTTACATTTTGTCAAATTTCTCGAATACGGACCATTTTAGGAAAATTTTGCGTAAAACAAAAATTATAGATAATTATATTAGAAGTAACTTTTATTTGAAGAATTTTCTTCTCCAAACGTAAATAACAGATATATTCCATAAAATATAAAAATGACCACCTATAAAGTACCCCCCCAAATGTTCCGACTCTGCCCAAAATCTAATCAGCTCATTGGACGCTGAAACAAAGCTTAAGTTTAAAATTTGGTGTTTTTCTGTGTATCGGTTCATGAGTTATGCGTTATACAGACACACACACAGACAAACACACACACACACACACACACACACACACACACACACACACACACACACACACACAGACATCATCGCGAAAATAGTCAAAACGGATTCAGGGGACCTCAAAATGTAAAAATCCGTCGAAAACTCGAGGTCGAAAAAAATCATGATTCCTATACTTTCCTTATATCTGTATACAGATAGGAAAGTAAAAACTCACTCACACTCTTATCCCAGACACGAATAAATCATTAAAGATAATGTGACGTTTAATATTTCTTTAATTTAAACAAGAATAAATCATAACAAAAATAATTATCGTCAGTACGCATACCACTTACGTCATTATGGAAACGAAACGTCAACCCGGAAACATTTTAGCTACGGCATAATAATTGTCCCAAGGATGACGAAATCTCACAAAATTATTTGCAGTGATCATTATTGATCGAGAAACATTCAATTTTTAGGTTAAATTACTGAACCAGTTTTAATAAAAAAAATAGTTGTAAGTTTTAAAGATACAATCCAAATAAGTGTGACACGTTTCCAAACTTATCCGTAATAAAGGTATACGCACAACTCTTTTAATATTTTGTTGTTAAATGTAAAAAATATATTTGAATAAAATTACCAATATGGTTTGATGAACAACGTATTGTGGTGTGAAACATGGTTATCTGGTTGACCATGAGCTAATTCAATTTTTTTTCGCTTGCTTTCATCGATCAGCTGATACGTCAGATTTATAAAAGCGCTGCCTTCCACCACAATACGTCACCGTGACGTATAGTATCAATATGTATATCATACCTTCTTTTTATAGTATCATGTGTATTTCCGAGATATTTGAATTGAAGTGAATGGTTTCAGAAATGACGAGTTTCATTTTGGCTATAAAACATTCGTTTATATCAAAAATATGATTTTATAGAGGCAATTTAAAATACACCTTAAGCAAAATAAAGTCTATCCAAGGAATGCATTACTTTCTTTCATTTATTTAAATCGAGAAAGGTAATGAGACCACAGTGTTGGAAATTTAAATATGAATTTGGACCCGTTTTCGAAATAATGATTTTGACTATAAAATAAAAAATTCATAAAAAAATATGAAGTATATAAATCTTACATTTTATATGCCTGTGGCTATCAAATAACGTTGGATTTAATATGCCATATTTATTAGTTTTTTGACAATCTCATGGAACAGGCGATTGTACCATTATAAAAATTTTACCATAATACCCTTTATAACGTTCACATTACTCCAAAAACATTTTTATATTTTTTTTAATGTACCTACTGGCGAGCAATATTTAAAATATGACAATTATACAATATGTACAAAGTACTTAATAAAATATTGATAATTTGTTAAATTATTTTTTTTTTTTTTAATTGTATAACAAATTTTTTTTTTGCAGATTTCCGTTCTTCTAAATCAAGATCGAAACATATCGACGGACATTTTGGGAAAAACTTCGTGATTTGTAAATTTTGTGGAAGATTCATGACAAAAATGAATTTTTCTCAGCACCAATTTATTCACGTAGTAAAAAATAGATCAAGAAAAGTTTCTTCGAAAATCAATGACGTTTCCAACATACAGGCACATTTAAAAATTCACAGTAATGAAAAATCATTTAAATGTGACGTTTGTAGTAAAGGATTTAATCGAAAATCTAGTTTACAACGACATTTAATAATTCACAGTAATGAGAGACCATTTAAATGTGACATTTGCTTCAATGGATTTTATCAAAAATCTTATTTACGAAAACATTTAATAATTCACAGTAATAAAAAATCATTTAAATGCGACATTTGTTCCAAAGGATTTAATCAAAAATATAATTTACAACTACATTTATTAAGTCATAATAAAGAAAAACTATTGAAATGTGACATTTGTTCTAAAGGATTTAATCGAAAATCTAGTTTAAAACGACATATATTTCACAGTAATGAGAGACCATTTAAATGTGGCATTTGTTTAAAAGGATTTAAGCAAAAATTTTCTTTACGAAACCATTTAATAATTCACAGTAATGAAAAATCATTTAAATGTGACATTTGTTTCAAATGATTTAATCGAAAATTTCATTTACAACAACATTTAAAAATTCACAGTAATGAAAAATCATTTAATTGTGACATATGTTCAAAAGGATTTAATTACAAATGTGGCTTACGGAAACATTTAATAATTCACAATAATGAAAAACGTTACAAAAAAATCTGATGTGTCCAACACATGACTTTCCTATCCAGTTATTATAGACTTTTTCCGGTTATTTTGTACAACCTATTGCAGCACCTCTATAAATGTTTAGAGAATAAACTAAATATATACATTTTCCACATACATCTAACTCGAAACATTTTTCTATAAATATTAATAAGTAAATTTTATTTGAAAAAATTTCTTTTCCAAACGTAAATAACGGATATATTCTATAAAATATAAAAACGGCCTCCCATAAAGTACCCCCTCAAATGTTTCGACTTCGTTCAAAATCTAATTATTTCATCTCAGGCTAAAATAAAACTTAAGTTTAAGATTTCATGTTTTTTCCTTTATCCGTTTTTGAGTTTTCTTGAAAATTCGAAATTTACACAATTTTCCAAATATTTCGAATACAGTTCATTTTAGAGAAATTATGTATAGGATAAAAATTATAGAGAATTATATTATAAACAACTTTTATTTGAACAATTTTTATAAAAAAAAAAATTTTACCTTTTGTCAAATTTCCCTAATACGGACTATTTTAGGAAAATTTTGTATAAATCAAAAATTATAGATAATAATATTGTAAATCACTTTTATTGGAAGAATTTTCTTTTCCAAACATAAATAACAGATATATTCTATAAAATATAAAAATGATCACCTATAAAGTACCCGCCCAAATGTTCCGACTCTGCACAAAATTTAATTAGTTCACTGGAGGCCAGAATAAAGCTTAAGTTTAAAATTTGGTGTTTTTTCTTTGTATCGGTTTATGAGTTCTGAGGGATTTTTTGGCGAGTTACCGTTGATAACCGCTAGTTATCATGCGGTTATATCCCCCACCCACTACCTTGACAGGTAATTCCAAAGTTTCGCGAAAACAAAGCGGTATTAAAGGTGATAACTGAATGACAGTTGACACTTTTGACAGTATGACAAGCTGAATTTTGATATATGTTGTATGTTTTTATTTTTAAATTTATGTTCATTGTTGTAACAGTTGTTATCTATTATTGTAACATAATGGACGACGCGTAATGTAATGAGAACGTTGAAATCAATGATGGATCAGTAGTAGAAATATGCCTAAATAATAAAGGACAGGACTACCTGGTTATAGTCCCCCTACAAACAGCGACTTTATTGCTCAATGGTAAGTAAATTAAAATTTAACTTTTTGTTGGTGTATTTATTGAACTGTGTGTATTTTAGATCCGGAAGAAGCAAGCAACTTCATCGAAAATGAATTAAAAGGAGAAAATGAATCTCTAGAGTCTGAGGAATCAGAGGCATCCCAAGCTCAAGGTAGAAAGGTGGTGGTTTGGACTTCAAAAAAACCTACAGGGCTGGACCACGAAGCCACCCAATATTTTTTGCAGTTACGAGCATCATACTCCAAAAAATGAGAGGACAAAAAAAACAATAAAGAGGCAACTGTATGGTATGATAGCTAAAAAATTAATGTGGTAGGTTATTATGTGGGAGAAGGAAGGGAAGCTATTGAAAAATGTAGGATGAAATTTGCAAATATGCAGAAGCAGTACTTGCAATACATACGCCACATGAAGACCACAGGTGCAGAACATAAAGAGCCTCCTTCCTATTTTGACGAAATTTTAGGTGGTCAAGATAGAGTTGATCCTATCAATCTTCAGGATAGCTTTGAGGATTCTGGAGTGATTGAAGACCAGAATGAGGAAGTGAGAGATCCTGATCAAAGTGGGTCTGGTGGACCAAGTGGGTCTGGCAGACCAAGTGGGTCTGGTAGACCAAGTGTGTCCAGTGTACCAAGTGATTCGGCAATTAAATCTAGTGACATATCTAACAGATTCTCAACCATCAAAAGTGTAAAGCCGGTTAGCACTAATGTTATAATGATAGACATTATGAAAGAACAGCAAAAGTCTAGGCAACAGAATTTTGATAAGTTGGAGAACATTTTAGATACACAAAATGAGCAAAGAGAAAGATTTTTGAGTCAATTCCAGTCTCTAATAGAGATACAAAAAAAAAGAAAGAGGAGAAATTCTAGTAGTTCGGACAGCTCTTGATTTTTAATGTATTGATATAAGAACAAGAGTATTTAAGTTTAAAAGTTTGTTTATATTTAGTTTAAGTGACAAGAATTCTGAACAGTCAGAAATCGTGACAATATTGCAAGGGTTCTAAACTTTTGGAATCTATATGGAAAATTTATAATACATATATAGGTGGATTTTTCTTTTCACTGCTCGGTTCATCTCAATTATATTTTTCATCATAGGCTGTCAGCTAGTGGTAGAATTTTGGTGCTAATCGAACCTCATATGCCTTCAAAAGTAAACAGTACACTTAGTTGTCAATAAATAACAATTATTTAGCTTGAAAAAGATGAAAAAATGTGTTTAATACAATAATAGATTTTTGTGAATACAATTATTATATTATATTCATAAAAAAACTTATTGTATTAAATACATTTTTTCATCGTTTCCAAGTTAAATTGTTATTTTATCAATAACTAAATGTACTACGTTTATTTTTTACTATTTTTAACTCAACTGAAAATTTTAATTCTGAACAACTTTTCTCAATATTATTTTTTTTTTGTTTATTAAAAAATTAATGTAGTTTATTTTTGACCAGTTAAAAATTAGTTTCTAAATCATCACGTAAACGATTTGACTCATTTTATGTACTTTTTAATTTTAGACAGTATTCGCGATTCAAGCTAAGTGATACGCCCTCTGGAGGAAATTTGTAGAAGGTCCGTATAAGTAGCAAAACTTCGCTACGTCGTCGGATTTTAGCTCTTGAAGAAGTGGATAAGACCTTTTATTTAAGAATCAAAATTTGTTTATATGTTATCATACTCTATATTTATTTAAGGATTTTTTTATAAAACTGATTTATTATATTGATTTTTTTTTATATTTCAGTTCATTTATTAATTTTGTTTTAAATTCAGTTCATCATTTGGCAACATTGGCGTTCGTGTTCATTGTTTACATTTTAATTTGTATCAATTACAATTCGAGTTTTTTCTTACTTTTTAGCTTTAAATTTGTTTATTTCTTATAGCGTGTGATAGTGTTTATATTAAAAATGAAATCTGCGAAAAAGTCCCCAAAAAATTGCAATCTATATGGTGTTAATGTCAAAATCAAAACTGAAGTATTCAATATTTTCCAAGTGCAAGTCGTAAAATTTTGTTTTTTACGATAAATGAATATCTACAAATTCACAATATTGAAATTCTACAAAACTTTGTTTAGAATCAAACTGTAATCTTATTTTTTGACGGTTTTATTACCATTTACATGTATACAAAGTACTACATGATTCACTTCATAATAAAATCTGATGTGTCCAACACATGACTTTCCTATCTAGTTATTACAGGCTTTTTCCGTTTATTGTGTACAACCTATTGCAGCATCTCTATAAATGTTTAGAGGATAAACTAAATATATACATTGTCCACATACATCTACCGCGAAACATTTTTCTATAGATATTCATTGAAAATGAAAATACTGAAAAATTTAAATTTAGCACTTTTCCTACAATTTTTCCATTACGGTCCATTTAAAAAAAATCATGTATGAACAAATATTATAGAGATCGATATCGCAAACAACTTTTATTTCAACAATTTTCATAAAAATCAGAATTTTGCACATTTTGTCAAATTTCTCGAATACGGACCATTTCAGGAAATTTTTACATAAGGCAAAAATTATAGATAATAATATTAGAAGTAACTTTTATTTGAACAATTTTCTTCTCCAAACATAAATAACAGATATATTCCATAAAATATATAAACGGCCTCCCATAAAGTACCCCCCCAGATGTTCCGACTTTGTCCAAAATCTAATCATTTCACGTCAGGCCGAAATAAAACTTAAGTTTAAAATTTATTGATTTTTTCTTTATCCGTTTTTGAGTTTTCTTCAAATTTCGAAATTTACACATTTTCTCAAATATCTCGAATACGGTCCATTTTAGAGAAATTATTTATGGGACAAAAATTATAGAGAATTATATTACAAACAACTTTTGTTTGAACAATTTTTATAAAAAAAAAATATTTTTTTACATTTTGTCAAATTTCTCGAATACGGACCATTTTAGGAAAATTTTGTAAATAACAAAAATTATAGATAATAAAATAAGAAGTAACTTTTATTTAAAAAATTTTCTTCCACAAACGTAAATAACAGATATATTCCATAAAATATAAAAATGACCACCTATAAAGTACCCCCCAGATGTTCCGACTCTGCCCAAAATCTAATCAGCTCATCAAGCTTAATATATAACCGCCGTAACGTAACTTAAGAACTTAACGTAAGAAGTTGAAATATTGAATTTACGTATACTTATTTATAATGTTCGTAACGTAACTTAAGAACTTAACGTACCGTAGAAAGTTCACCAACTTTTAACTTAACAACATAACTTAACTTAAGACCTTACGGTTAGCCAATGAGATAATTCTGCGTTCAGCATGTGATAACTGTCAATTATTCTCTTTTCATTTTTTTTTACAAATAAATAGAAAAATACCATTTGTAAACTATCACTCTCCATTTTGATGGACATACAAACAGAGACAGACAGACATCATCGCGAAAATAGTCAAAACGGATTCAGGGGACCTCAAAACGTAAAAATCCGTCGTAAACTCGAGGTCGAAAAAAATCATGATTCCTATACTTTCCTTATATCTGTATACAGATAGGAAAGTAATAAGAATAAAGTCTAGTAAGATGTTTAAATAAGTTCATCCATAATAAACGTGTGGTACCTGAAATGTCCTTTAAACCACATAATAAAACATGTCCTGGGTTTA